GCACTGAATTTTGTTCATTGACTTGTCAACATCTTTTTCTTACGGTTTTACTGTTTCAGAGGAGAAAGGGTTGTGGCAAGTTAGTGTTTCAGTTACTTGTCATACAAAAGGAGGGGAAGTACATCGTGATATGATATTCATTTGTTTTTGTGTATCACTTCATATAGTCAAAATAGTCTTTTACTATTATAATTTTTTCCTTCGTTATGTCACATGTCATATCAGGACAATATTTTCATGGTGTTTTGCTCTAGCTCAGAAAGAGAATTTTAAAGCTGTTACAATATTCCAAAGTTTCTCATCTTACCTTCAGAAGTAGCTTTCTAAGCCTGTTTCATTGCAAGTCAATGAATCACACATTCCTGTGTGCTGCAGCTCTTTTGAAAACAGGGTTTAAGACATTTTGTGCTTCATTCTTTAAGAAATGTTATCCAATATGCTTTGAAAGGCTGAGGTCTGAGAGGGGAAAGAGGCTGAATCTTCAGGTCTTCTGAAGCTAAATTTGGCTTTGTATGGAAACTGTGTGTGTTTGAGAGGGAAGGGAGATTTGACTTTTTTTTAAGGGAGTTGATGGGTGCAAGTTGGGGGTTTTACAGAGGTTTTGTTGGAGGAGTTATTTGTGGAATGAAAGAGAGGTACACAAAAAAAAAGGTTCAGCCCAGATAATTGTTATAGCCTGTGCCATTCAAAGGGACTGTCTGGGGAGGGAACACCAAATAAATCCTGAGGAATGCCCAATTTTTAAGAGGAAATAAAAAACAAATGAGGCCATTACACTGGTGGTTTGTTTCATCCCCTTCTTAAGTACCCCCTCTCTTGGCTTGTCTGACACAGATCTAAATTTAGAAAACATATCAAAACACAGCATTTATGAAGGAGCCCGCAGGCATTTAAAGATGTCTGTGTGGAAGCTTCGGTGGTGTTTCAGCAGCCGGGGAGGACTGTGGTTGCTTGTGCTGGAGGCTGGAAGACTGCCACGCCGCTTCCTTTGTTCGGCTTCCTTTGCTGCATAAAGCATAGAAGACAGCAACCATTATTGCTAGTGTTAAAAAGTAATTACGGAGGTGACAATCTGAGCTTCAAATTTTACAACCCTTGCACTCACCAGTCCAACAGCCTGCAAACACTGCAGTCACCAAATCCACTAGTTTCCTTGCACCCCCTGCCATTTTGCAGTTTCCTCCTCACTGTGAGAAGCACCTTGCCATGAAAAGTAAGGGGTTAATAACAGTGAAGACAAAGGGAAAAGGAGATGAAGGTGTTTGCTTTCCACTGTTACTGTTTAAAATTTGATATGGCAGCTTAAATACTCAACTTCCCATGCCACATGCCCATGTTGCTGTTCAGACTGACAATGTCATGTGTGTCCTCTGCCCAGGATGTTTGGTTGTTACTTATATTTCTATTATTGTTAGTTTAATAAAATTATTTTCTAAGCCTCTTCTCTCTCTTTTCTTTCTGTCTCTCTTTTCCCTGTGCCTCAAAAGAAATAACTTGATATAACCCAAAATTTCCCTAGTTTATACCTGTCAGAACTTTTCATATTTTGTCAATTAGCCATCTTGTGAAATCATATTCAGGTTTGTATTTCCTAGTAGGGTTTGGTTTCTGAACAAAGCTAAAGAAAACTCCTAGGAGTAAGGTGGAGAAACATTCTTTACATAGGTGTGTCTTCCTAAGTGATGAGTAATGAATTATTTGGTCCACATTCCTGTTCCTTAATGCCTCGGATTGTTACAACCGCTTTACCCTTTCTAAACAAGTGGTTTCAGAGGAAGGACTCTCCCCTTCTGCACAGGGCTCCCTGTACCATAATGGGATTTTCTGACTTACCTTCCTTTTGACTTCATTACAAGCTTTTAACAGACTGTTCTGCAACTCAGTTTCTTCCAGTGGCTTTGTGTGTTGGGCGTTGTCAGAAACAAAATCATATTCTACCAGAAAACCTGTCTAGCATCCATGATCAGAGAACAGCTTGCTTGCTCCTAATAGTTTTCTTTGTTTATCTGTTTGAATAGTGTAGGCAGAGATATCACAGATACATCTAACCATAACTTTGCTCTTCTCCTGTTCAAAAATTTACCAGTGCTGCTTATGACAGTCTGATATCACCCTCTTGCCCCAAACCCAGCTGAGGAGTTTGAAATCAGCCCTGTGGTGTTTGTTTGGGGTTTTTTAATAGCAAAATTTTATGGGACATTTAACCATCTGCTTTTTCTGCATCTGAGAGGTTGATGAAGTTCATATTAGAGTTTGAGGGAATTGTAAAAGCAGTTACATGTAGCTAATTGTGTTTCTTTCCCTGTTTAATAACATTTTCTGTGATAAGTGGAAGTACACTGATTAAGTGTTTTAATAGTAGTTGTTGCCTAAGCTATTTCCATATTTTCTTCTATTGATGTTTTGTTGGAATTGGAATTACGAATTTTGGCAAAATACTGTCCATTTTTAGGTAAGTAATCAATAAATTTTGGCTTTTATTAGTATAGATTACTTTAATGGTAATATGTCCTTGTTCATGAGGAAAAAACATATTTCCCAATTTTTGAAAAAAAAAAAAAAAAGCAACAATTAAGAACTTAATTGCATCTCAGCACATTTGCTGGGCAAATATATGCAACCTTTTAATAGTTAATGCTTATGCCAGGTATAACAGTTAAAATACTTAGTTACGCTCTGTTTCAAACAAAACACTTGAATGGTGATCTCTAGCAATATGGCCAGCTGACAGCCTCACGATGTGCATGCGTAGTCTCTATTTAGGAGATCCTATACTCAGTAAGCCATCTCAAATATGTTACTTAGTAGACTCTTGGATGAGGACAGGAATACACAATTTAAAAAAAAAAAAAAAAAAAAGGGGGTTCTGAAAAAGGAGATGCTATGATCCCATCATGGAGAAGAACTGAAGTGATTGGTCTAGTGCTGTGGAAGACAACTGCCAGAGGTATATAAGAGGGAAAGCATACTCTTTTTACTCAAAACTGCTTTCTTCACTGACTGTAATGGTTCATGAACAAGGTGAACACCCTGAACAAAGTTCTGCCATTGCTTATATACCCTAAGCATATATACTAGGCTGCCTGTGTTCCCTGTGAAAGTAAACCTCTAAGCTCAACGCATTTGTCACTTGCTTGAAAAGCTGAAATTCTGATGTTCTTCATGGCTTGTTACTTGATTTAAACTGAATTGATTGTCATCATGTACACTGTTGAAAGCCCTACTCTGTTCCTTCTCTGCAAAGACAACTACTTGCATGTTAGCAGCTTGTGGTGAAACTCCCTCAGGGGTGAGCTCTTACTCACTGGAATTACTCCAGTAACGCCATTGCCCATTCCACTGCTGCTGCTGAAATCATTTCTAGGACTTCAGAGCCCTTACAGGTGTTTGCTGGCTTCGCTGACCTCTGTGTATCCGCAGCTTTCTGTGTAACACTGCTGATAGTGAAGGCGGCCAGTGGGAACGGTTGTGGGTGTATGTAAGGCTTCTGCAGTTTTGCTGTTAAGAACTACTGTGTAGTGTACCAAATGTGTTGTTTCTCAACTTTGTACCAAGACAACTAGATGGAAAGTATATCCTGCTACCTTTGCTTATTTCATTTCATCCTCCCTTCCTAAATACTCAGTAAAATCTGTAAAACACAAATGATCTGGTATGTGTACTTTAAAGAGCAAATGTTGGTTGGTTGCACATCTAGGGTATTACACTGTGGTTTAGGTAAACAGGGATTATTCCTTCATTCTTACAGGATTGTATGGAAGAGAAGTCCTGCCACATTAGTGATTATTTGAAAATAAAATGGAGGTGTATTTTAGCTGTAATTACCCACGTGTTCTAATCTGAAGAATATCGACTGTCTACATGGAAATTGGGATATAATTGTTTTAATTGGTATTGAACTTAATGATTTGAAAAAGAGGGGCAAGCACCACAAAAAGTGTCCATGAGCTCCATAAAGTATCTTAAATGAATTTGTCAGTCATCTTTATTTGAAATAGGGGGTTAACTTTTGTTTTTATTCAAAGCAAGCGTAATGTCCTAACTGATTTCAAAGATAATCTGATAGCAAGTGCTTTGATTTTTTTTTCTTTTTTTTTTTTCTTTTTTTAATCCCCTCCCCCCTTTTTTTCTCCTTTGACTGGACTGCTATGAAAGCAGAGAAAGAAGGGCACTGGTGCAGCTTTTTGCTGGAAGATCTGAACAGAATGGAAAGAAGTGGTGGGAATATCTTTACATATGGTTGAAAAAGAAAAATCTCTATATTACAAAATGGGATGGGTTTGAACAATGTTGGATATGTTGGATTTTTATTTTTTTGGTTGCAAAATGTTGGTAACGAATAAAATTCTAAAATAATATTGTGAGTCAAAAATGAAGGTAAGAATTTAAGAGAGTATCGGTGTTTTTAAGTGAAGAAAATACAGAAATTACTGTACAGTCTGATGTAATCAGAGCAAGGAGGTAGTTGCACTGATAGAAGCCAATTTTTTCAGTATTGAATCCATGGGTGAAGAGGAGTCTTTATATTGTGATTTTTTTAAATTTTTTTTTGTTTTTTTCAGTGTCAAGCCCACAAGAAGATGAAAGCATAGCTTGAAATAATCTGACAGCCTAAATGACACAAAACAGGGCAGTGCAAATGTGAACTGAATGTTTTTATGGAGACTTGTAGTTAGCATTCATTTTCAAGCTTTCTTTCCAACCTATTTATGTGTAGTATTTGTCCGTATAACACCATCTGCTCTGTGTCTCTGAAATCTCAGTGAGAAGAGCTTCACAGAAAGCTTTAAAATGTCTTTCTGTATTAAGTACCACTGGGCATTGGAACATAAATCCTCTCAATTCTGTAATTTCTTCCTTAGCAAAGCACATCTCCCTTTTATTTCTCTGAATTATTTCAGAATTTTTAAAATCATTTGCATTGTCTTTAATATGAAGACAGTGGGCTAACTTCAAATATAATAATGGACTTTTCTGTTTTCTTATGTGTGGTGTTCTGCAGGTTAAAGTGGGGGGAAAAAAAACCCAAACCCTGAAACATCGTTGACCGGATAGATTTTTCAACATGAATCGTGCTTTTAGCAGGAAGAAAGGTAAGTAATTTAGTTTATGTTCCATGGGAGACATAAATATCCTGTATAAATTCTTTAGACTATCAAGAATTATACAAGGAACTACTTATGAATAATTGCACCTAATTAACTAGGTAGAAACGGGCAGCCTTCTATAAGATGTACAGAACAAAGCATTCTCAATTGATAGATATAGAGCTTTCTGGATTGTAAGGCTTATGTTGAATTTCATAATATTTTCTTTATTGAGGGGGAGTGTGTATATTATATATTCATTGGGTTCTTATTCTTGGAGAAGCTATTTTAGAAAACTGCGTTTAATATACTTGAAATATCTCATGCAGCAGAATATCTCTTAGCTTTAAGAAGCTATTCTGAATTTGTAGCAATCTGAAATGGTATGCTTTCCAAAAGAATATCAAACCAAATAAATATTCAGAGTTATGTATGCTGCTCCTCTGGCTTGCTTATTCTCTTTTCATGGTCTGTTTATGATGAAACATAAGTTTTTAGACGGAGCATTAGAGATGCAGCTTTTTTTACTGACTGCTTTGTTGCTATTTGCTCCATTGGTTTGTAATGTAAAAAATACTCAGTAGGTCTAATTTCTTTATTTTTCATGTTTTCTTCTAAAGATCCTTAAGTGTGGTACACACTGAGCTAGTGCCTCTGCTTTAATAACTAGGTGTAAACTCAACTAGAGTAAGTTTAAATGTTTTGTTTATGTAGCAAGAATTCCTGCTTTGGTATCAATATCAAAGCTGGAAATAAAAGGAATCTGCCATACCTTCTACCAACACAAAATGATAGCATTATTGCATTCTTCCATGTCTAGTTCATTTATTTGTTAAAGCCAGATGAATCAAATATCATAAGTAGTCCAGAATATCAGCAGATGTAGCTTGATTGCAAAAGGAAGATACACTTATTCACAAAGGCTGCAAAACCTGATGAAAGGTCATTTGATACCCCAGTAGCATGATGGATGCTGAGGAAATAAGCTAAAATCCATAGCCCATGCTCCTCTTAAGCACTGATGTATTTTCTTGGGTAGATATTTGTACACCTCTATCAAGAGATCTGTACCTACCTGCTTAATCTGAGATCTGCTTAATAGTGTTGCCTAGTTTCTTCCAAACAATTTGAGAGACCGTTTCAATATTCTTTAATTGTGGATTGATTTATCACAGCTGGGAAAGAAGCTTGGGGTTTGTAGATTTTGTTTTGTCTAGATGACCATATAATTTTTTCCTTTTCTCTTATGACTTCTGATAATATTAGAAACTTGGCTTGCCATGTTTCAGAAACAGACCAGTTATCTTTTATGGGATATTTCCTCAGTGTTTTGACTTGCACCAAATGCTCTTTCACTAATTCTCATTGCCCTTGCCTGTGTCCGCATCTTGCCTTTATGGTCAAATTGTGAAGTTGTATCCTCAGGTATCTGGGATGATTTGAGGGGTCTGGATTCATTCCTTTCTGTTTTCACTACTTCTTGGTAGGAAAATGCTTACTGACCTCACCTGAATTCTTGGAATTTCAGTATATTCAAGGGCATTTGCTTTATTGTTCAGTTGATTTTTGTGTGCTATTCTCTTTACCCCAACAAGAAAAAAGTATCTTAAAAGAAGCTGTCAGGCACAATTAAGTGCAATTATTGTGGATTCTTAAAAATGATTCAGAACTTGAGCAACCAGAAGAATTAAATACTGACATCCATTTATTTTACTCATGGTAATGCACACAACATTTCCATTCTCATATCCTAGGAAAAACGCAAATTTCAATTAAACAGTTGTCAAGAATAAGTGAAAATTACATATTTTTCATGCCAGTTGAAGTTCAGAAAAGCTTGGCTGTGTCAATGTTCACGTCTAATAACTGCATTTAAGAGCAGGTTCAAACAGATTCAATTGCTGAACTTCCTTTATTGTATTTCCTGCTTTTACTCCCCGACCTCAGAGATACAACAATTTCCATGCCTGTGTTTGCTGGGGTTGTTTGTGGATGTCTTCTGTTCACAAGGGTGTGGATATTTTAAGGAGTTAACTATGTGAGTGCTGTGACTTTCCTAGCACTTCTCTCTAAATCCAAATTAGTCTCCTGGTGGCTGTGCTGCTAGGGTTTGTGCTAATTACAAGTTTGCATCAGTCTGTTACCTTGGAGCTGCACAAACAGTCTCAAATATATATATATATATATATATATAGGATTGTTAGGGGAATTTAAACAGATGTAAGTGGTACTTTCACAGTAGCCAAAGGTTATCTGAACTGTGCAGGCTTACAGAATAAGTGTCCTCTAATCCTCATTGCCATGATCAGTCTATACCAGCCTTTCAATACAAAGCATATACAGAACGTAGTAACTAATGCCATAGCTCCTTATCTTCTTGAGCCAGGTAAGCTGATGACTAGAATGACTCGGACTGTGCGGTACTCGTTGAAAAGCTCAGTTCTTACTCCATCACCTGATTCAAACAGCAGAACTTCCCTTTTAAGTGCAAGTACTCAGTGCAACTTTATTTTTGGGGGCCATGATTTGAGAATGAAACAGCCGCTTCCACTGACAAGGTGTGCTGAGCGCTCTGACCTTAAAACCAGCTGGTACAGTCATTGTCAGTCTGACTCCCAGAGCTTTTGCACAAACCAGAACTTCTAACCTGGACATTTTACGTTTGTATTTCAGTTGTATTTATTTTTATTGGCTGATAGTAATTTTAATTGAAGGCTTAATTGATGTGCTTAAATCTCCAATTGAATATGAATAAAATTAAGCTGTTCATTTTTCATCCTAATAATGACAATGAAAAATACAAGAAAACGTGAAGTTTAAGCAAATTCAGCTTGTTTCACAAGTACTTACACAAGCAATCCTAAATAAATGGAATCTTTTTGCAGTCCCGAGTTGTAATATCTATTCTCATCAATTAGCCATGAGCTTGTATGACAGGAAACAAACTTTATGAAATAATAATGACAAGAAAAGATAATTTTCGGTGTAAAGCTGATACCAGCACCTGCTGAAGTTGCATGTTTTAATGTGAAAAAGCGTAGCATCTGTTCAAAATAAAATAACCTTTTTGTTGACTTCAGTAGAAGTTGGTTGGACTAGCAGTTATGTATGCTGTGGAGAAAATACTCTGTTTTAGCAATATTATATGACTGTACAAACTGTACAAAAATATATATTCTGTTTTCCATTGATCAAGGGGTGCAATACTCTATTGAAGTAGTTTTTATAGATTATCTTATTTTTAAGGATCTATTTCCTTCTCCCACAAAAACAAATTCAAGAACAATGTTATATATGTTCTTGCTGTTTTGTTATTATGACAAAGCTTGTGAAAACATTTATGCATCTGTCACAGGATCAGGAGCTTGCTTTTGTATGTGATCCATGTTTGGGTCATGGTTTCTGAAGAGTCCTCTTAATTTTTCCTTTAAAGTCAGGCATGGTAGCATGCTCACTTTGAAATGTTGTAGTGTGAAAAGTCTGTAGTGCAGATCGAAGTCTGTTTAGTCTTGAAATATGTTTGCACCTTGATAATTCCAGTCTGTCTTTTAAGTAGTGTAGGGATATTAATGTAATTCTCCTGTAAGAGATCTTTGTATATGCTATGCTTTCGTGTAAATTTTTCTCATTATTAGTGTATCAGTATCTAAACTGAATTACCTGTTTTTCCTTAATTTATATGTGAGTGTGTGTACAGGTAATGTGCATACATAAAACAGAAAGCATTAATTATAGGGTTTATGGTGTGGGTTTTTTTTTTTAGTGAATGGGTGCCTCGCCCAGATGAGTTTGGCACATTTTATTGATCCTGTGGCCTTCCATTCAAAGCGCTTAGTTTAAGAACTGGTGTGTATAAGTAAACAAAAATTAACTAGTATTTGTTGGCTTTTGCCTCATCAGAAATGTGAAAGAAAACTACTGTTCCTCCTAGACAGAGGCATTTCTAAATATGAAATGACTGTAATCCAAACCTCCTGGCAGTAAAAGAGTGAAACTTTTTGAGTGTTTCAACGTAGTGCTAAAAATGTAGGTACATGTGTCTACTTTGGGCTAAATTTAGTACTGAATTACAATGTATGAAATCCAGTGGACTTCAGTGAGGTTGTGGAGGGTGTAAATCACAGCTGAATTTACTTTATTCTTTATTACACCCCAGTGGTCCTCCTTCATCCCAGAATAAATGCCAGCCTTAGTTTACATGTGACACAAAATACAATGCCAAAGCTGCTGTTGTACGCAGGAATCTGAATTTTCTGATGTTTTTTTTCCATATGATATTAGTTCATAAGGTTGGTAATTGGTGCCACGTTATCAGCTCACGGGATGTAGATGGTATTCATAATACTAAATGGAATATATTGAAGTAATAGCCTGTCATAAATAATAAGTTTCAGCAATAACTTTTTGTGCAATGGCTTTTTATGAGTCTCATTTATGAAAGTGTAGACAGATGCATTTAATGGGCAGGGTCTGACATATGAAAAAACGTAATCAAAGATTATAGGTTGCTCTTTTATGTGAATGGACTGGCTATAATATGATTTTTATTTTTATTGTAAACTTATGCTGCATTCCAGAGATGACAAATGTTTTGTTTTATATTTGTTTCTCTGAATGAGTAGACAACAAGTGAAGCCCCAAAAGGGTGAAGGGGATAAGTATAGTCCCAAAGCAAATACTTTCATTCTGTCAGAATGTATTTCTCATCAGTGATTTAAACAAATGGGCTATTGTGTGCTGGACTTCCACATTAACAATAATGATAAAAAACATAAAGGGTAAATACTTATATACTTTAAAGGCATATAAGTAGTCACAATCTTCCTCATTGTGGTTTTCAGATATTCTTGTGATTGCACTTTGTGCTTTCATAAAAGCACTCATCACTGTCCAGGAAATAAACAAAACTAGGTCTAAATCTCCTCCTCTGCCCCCACCCCAAAAAAAACTGCTGATGGATGTATTTTTTAAATAAGAAATTTTTCAAGAGCAAAGTTTCGGAGGAA